CACACACACACACATGCACACAGCGTCTCGTACTCACTGAGCTCGTTAGCAATGGCCCACCCAGTCCGTATTTCTCATGCTGGAAAGACCACCGACAGTGAACACTCGGTCGCGCACTCTCTCCAGAAGCGCCTCGTCCAACGTCATCCCCTCAAAACGCCTGGTCCAGGGAATCTGCAAGCGAACACAATCATGAGAGCGTGGCCAGCCAAATGCAGGCATGCACGCGCACATACATGGAAACACACACTTATACAGACACAGACGAAGTCACAGACATACAATCGGGCATGCACGGAGGCACACGGGCACATAGGGCACGATACCAGCGGGCCCCTGGGATTGGCGTCCTTCCCCCTGGTCCTGTTGCCGCCTGCTCGCTTGGACCGTTTAGCCGACGACGACGACGGCTCTTCGCGAGGCGCCAATAACGATTGGGTGGGGTTCATTGTATCCTGCGAAGACCGGGGTACCATGCTGTCTCCCTCCTGGGACTGCGTCTCATCGAAGGTCGAGCCTTGGGACTGGACACGCCGCCGAGATGTATTAGAGTCCTGCGAGTCAGAAGCAGACACTCGTGCTCGAGAAGAGCCCACCCGTGATTGGGAAAGAGGAAGGGGGCGTCCTCCAAACACAAGAGACGCAGCTTGCGAAGACCGGGGTGCCATGATGTCTCCATCCTGGGACTGCGTCTCATCGAAGGTCGAGCCTTGGGACTGGACACGCTGCGACGCACTTGAGTCCTGGGTTTCCGGGACAAGCACTTGTGGTTGTTTGCGGGGAGGCGGAAACGAGCCCATGATATCTGAAGCAGACACACGAAACGCAACTCAGTTACGACTTGCAACAGCAACGATCCAACACACATGCACACACACACACACACACACACACACACACACACACACACACACACACACACATAATCACAAGCACAAGCACAAGCACAAGCACAAGCACACATGCACACATGCACACACATGCACACACATGCACACACATGCACACACATGCACACACATGCACACACATGCACACACATGCACACACATGCACATGCACACACACTCACGTGAAGGAGGAATGAACCCAGCCGGAGCCTCCTCATGTGGCTGCATGCACTGCACACAGATCAACGTGACCGCTCCATGCTGCATGCGCATTAGGGCCGCACACTGTTTGTGAAGCACCCTTGAACAGCGTGTACATTCGTTGCAGTACGTTGAACTCCCCCCACACTCAAAGCACACATCAGACTCCGCCATATCCAGTGGACGGTTTCTCTTCGAACGGCAACTGGCGCCAAACACGGCGCGCCAATCGCTGCACATGTGAGTCAGCAGAAAACAATTACTCGCCACGAACGCACACCGACCACCAGTTTCGCCAATACTCGCCAGCAATCACAATTACTCGCTGTGAACGGGCCCTTTGTGTGGCGTTGCTGGTGTGGGCTGGCGTGTGTGCCAGTGCCAGTGCCAGTGAGCTTAACTTCCTGACGCTCGGCGATTGGGGTGGCCAGGTACGTGCGCAGTGTACGCATTGTGTTTGCATGTGTGTTGTTTGATTACCATGACATTCTTCGTCAACTCTTAATTGTTTTGTTAGGGTTGTTGGTTGGTTGGCTTCAAGTGCGTCTGTTGCATGCCACTGACGCTTCGATCCCTCTGCCGATCGCATCACCTCCTCACGTCACGACAACTCACTTGCACCACCACTACTTCCACGACCATGTTTGTCAAATGAACGCCAGCCAACGCCACCGTACACGGAGCCGGGAGAGGTGGCCTGTGCAAGCGGCATGGCCAAGGTGGCAAAGGACATCAACGCTCAGTTCGTCCTTGCACTCGTAAGCCGTGGTGTTTGTTGTGCGGGTGAGTGAGTGAGTGAGTGTGTAAGTGTGTGGGTGTGTGCATGTGTGTGAATGTATGGGAGTGTCCTCGTAATGAACATAGGAGGCAGAGTATGAGCGACGGTGGTGAGGTGCTGGCAGGTTCGTTGATCTTTTGCTGTCGGCTTTTTCCTGCATGCACTTGGAGCAGAAGCACAACCCTTTTCATTCACCCTGGCTCAAACGCAAGGGACAAAACAACACTCACAAGTGCAATACATACATACACACATCACATGCACATGCAACACACATACACATGTACACATACACATGCACACACATACACACACGTACACACACACACACACACACACACACACACACACACACACACACACACACACAAATACACAAAATGCAAACGACAGGGCGACAACTTCTACACGACTGGCATTCAAGGCGATGAGCACAACTTTCGATTCCGGGCCACGTTTGAGGACGTTTACACGGACGACAGCCTGCAGATCCCGTTCTATGTTGTGGCCGGCAATCACGACCACCTCGGCAACATCACAGCCCAGATTGAATACAGCAAGATCTCTTCACGCTGGACCATGCCTGACACGCACTACAAGCGCACCTTCTCCTTCAACAGCGGCAAAGGCGGCAACACCACCCTCGACCTCATCATGATTGACACCGGTACTCTCAAGCTCTGTGTGTGTGTGTGTTTGTGTGTTTGTGTGTTTGTGTGTTTGTGTGTGTGTGTGTGTGTGTTTGTGTGTTTGTGTGTTTGTGTGTTTGTGTGTGTGTGTGTGTGTGTGTTGGGGGTCGGCGTTTGTTTTCTGTGGCAGCACAGCAGTTGTATAAAGCAAGGCGATGTCATACTCACTGCCGTTTATGTGATTTGGATGTGTGTATGTATGTGTGTGTGTGTGTGTGTGTGATGGTGCTCAACAGTGTTGCTTGCAGGCAACAGTGATCTCCTCCCCGACAAGTTTGGGGAGCTGCCTGGCCCTGCTGATCCTGAGCTGGCAGAGACGCAGTGGCAGTTCATTGAGCAGTCCATCAAGGAGTCCACAGCAGACTACCTGTGGGTTGGCGGTCACTACCCAGGTGAGAGCGAGGCCATGTTGATACATTGTCCAATGATGTGCGCAAACGTGTGACATGCGCTTCTCAAAATCCACCTCGAGTGCGTTTGTCACCTCATCCAACCACACACACACACACACACACACACACACACACACACACATTCAGTGTGGTCTGGGTGTTCCCATGGCCCAACTGCTGTGCTCGTTTTGCGCCTGAAACCGCTGCTGGAGCAGTACAACGCAACAGGATATGTGTGCGGCCACGACCACTGCCTTGAACACATCGACGAAGGTGTGAACATGCGTGCTCGTTGGGCGAGTATGCGGAGTTGATTGATTGTATGATTGTGCATGATTGTATGATTGTGCGCGCACATGTGTGTGCAAGAGGATACCAGCTGGTTCACACGTGCGCGTTTGAGTGTGAGGCACCAAGAATGCCGCCTTGCATGGGAGACCACGCACATTGGCGACAGTTTCATTGTCGTGGACACAGCTCACCGTCGTCCTTTTCAATACACGTGACCATCCATGCCATTGTCTTGGTTTGTTTCCTCAGGCAAGGGCCCCGTGTATGTGTTGACTGGTGCCGGTGACAACTGCTGCTACAAGAACTCCAACGTGCACAAGTGCCCAGATGGTGAGCGCGCCGCACACCTGATCACTAGCATTCTTGTGCAAATGTGTGTGTGTGTGTGTGTGTATGTGCGTGCGTGCGTTCGTGCGTGCGCGTGTGTGTATTCGAATGCCCGTACCGTCCTCGTCTCTTGACACCACTCCAAACCCCCTCTCACCGAGCCTCCGCCAATGCACCACCACCACCACAATCACCACCACCACCACACCTGTGATGTGACAAACGCCAAAACAGACTCAATCAAGTTCTCTGTGTGGAACGACGGCAGCGGCAACCCCATGCTTGGAGGGTTTGGTTCCTTCCACGTCACGCCAGAGTTCATGACAGTCACCTATCACGCTGCCAACGGAACAGCGCTGTACACCACGCCGCAGATGAAGCCACGCAAGTGATGCACGTGGCAGCCACCATTCGTTTGCCTGTTGTCACGTACGTGGTGTGTACGCGCACAGCACAACACACCACACACGTTACCATCCTTACCATCCGTCGTCTCTGCCTCTCAGTTTCTCTCTGTTCCTCTCTCTGTCTCCACCACCATTCTTTCTGCTGCGTCTGTTTAAGTCTCTGCCGACGCACACAGCAGCACCATTGCACTCGTCACGTCGTCACATCCACACCAACCAATACAGAGTTGCCAACAATGTCAGTCATATAAAGTTAACCACGATTTCTTTACAATACGATCATTAGCACCAGCGCAGATATGTCCATTACAGTTGATGAAATTCCACAGTCAGTGTGTTCATCGTTCTCCATCACCATCCCCGCCAGTCTCCTGCTCCTCTCCGTCTTCATCGACGCTGTCCTCACATCGGGCACTCTGGTCGTCAGGGCTATCCATGAAGTCACCATCACCACCACCATCACCACCACCATCACCACCATCATCATGATCATCATCATGATCGTCATCACCACCGCCATGATGACCGTCCACGGCGTGGTGGTCGCTCCCGCTGCCATCGACAGCAACCAACTCCTCAATGGCCGCAAGCAGCAGGTCCTGTTGCAGCTGCACGGAGGAAGCAATAGCACGGACAAGCAGAGGGAGGGGGATCGTTTTAGTCGTGCACAGAATGAGTTACACAGAGTAAGTACACAGATTGAGTGCACAGATTGAGTGCACAAAGTTGGTACATGCAAACACACACACACACCTGGAAGATGTGTGTTGTCGTGGGGGTGTGCACGAGAATGTCTGGCACGACGGTGTTGATGATGTGTGCTTGGCACATCGACTGCACAGGTCCGGGAACCTTCAGCCGCGACACGAGCTGATACACTGATGGCGGTGGTGATGGCGGTGGTGAGCGTCGCATGCGCACGCGTAAATATGTATGTGAACGCAGCTTGATTTGCTGTCCTCAACACACAAACAAACAAACAAATAAACCACCCACCCACAAACAGAACCACAGCCACGAGAGCAACTGACTGGTGCCATCAAAGGCGTAGATGAGGACCCAGCCAGAGAATGTTCCGAGTGCAATCGTGGTCGCGCCCGTCAGGAACTGGTGTTGGTGGCGAACGAATGATGATGAAAGGGTCATGGGCCATTGAGGTACTTTCTTTGCACACACACGCACGCACGGACACAGACACAGACGCGCGCACACACACACACACACAGACACAGACACAGACGCGCGCACACACACACACAGACACAGACACAGACGCGCGCACACGCACACACAGACACAGACACAGACGCGCGCACACAAATACGCACAGACACAGACACAGACGCGCGCACACAAATACGCACAGACACAGACACAGACGCGCGCACACAAATACGCACAGACACAGACACAGACGCATGACACTCACAAGGTCTGCCATGAGATAGCACGTGACAGTGTCGCAGTCGTTGCTGTGGGCCAGCGGATATCCGTGATCAAACCCGTGCTCAAACGGCTCCCTGCCAGCACATGCACACATTTCAATCTCCACTTGAGATGTTGCAACAAATACACTGCACATCTGCTTCCAGGCATATACACAGGCCTTCACAGGTTCTCACACCTGATCACACACACACATAAAAACACAACACACACATAAAAACACAACAAACACACATACACACACACACACAAAAAAACACAACACACACGCACACACACACACACAATGTCTTCCCCTCTCCTGCAAACACACAGACAGACACGCGCAGGTTATGAGCGTGCGCGTGCGTCAATTCTGCACCTGAACACCATGGTTGGGCCCATCATGGTTGAGAGGATGATAACAATGTCGTCTGTGATGGTGGTCAGCGGCGCGGGGAGCCACGGTCGCTTCGTCGATTGCACCCGCCAGTCGTCATCGTCGCCAGCGACACCACTCCCGGCACTCAGTCCGGTCGCACCAAAGCCATCGCCGCCACCGCCACCGCCATCATCAGCGGCAACGTCGCTGCTGTCACTGCCCGTGTGCGGCTGGTGGTAGCTTGCACTCCGCTGCACCGCGAGCACTCCATCTGTCCATCGCATCACTGCACGGTGCACACGCGCGTCGGGGTGCACAAACGCAACGAGGTGGACAGGGGACGCGGACTGGAACTCTGATGATGGCAAACGGGGGCGGGCGGGGCATTGGAAGAACAGGGATGGAAGGAGGGATGGGTGGGCGGTTTGTCAGCTCTGTGCGTACGTGTGTTTGAGAGTGGGAAGGGAGCGGTGTGCTTGGCATCATGTCCATTAAGATGCGTACGAAACATCAACGCACACGGCTTGATAATGCACACACACACACACACACACACACACACACAACCCCCGTCGGCGTCCAATGTACGACTGTACCGAAGCGTGTGCCTGGGAAGAGCAGATATGCTTTGCCGGCAAAAGTGCCCATCAACCGAGCCAGCTGCACCTTCTCTTCACCGCCGTCGCTGTCACCACGACCATGCTGCATGTCACCACCTCCAATGCTGCTGTAGCGAAGGCCGCAACTATCACCGTCAAAGCGTTCATCATCATCATAGTCATCGTCATCATCGAATGGCAGTTGGCTGTTCCCCCTGCTGAAGTCAAAGCCAAACATGTCTTCATCTTCGTCTTCTTCGCGGAACCGAATGGAGTGCAGCACTTGATCAATGCACAGCGCCCCCATGGTCGGTATCTGAGGATGATGGTGGTGGTGGTGATGATGAGTGGACATGGGTGGGACGAGGAAGCGGAAGGATGAAAGCACAGTCCACTTGTTATACGCAAACAGACAAACAGCCACGGGTGAGGTGCAATCAACACACACACACACACACACACACACACACACACGCACACACACACACACACACACACACACACACACACACACACGCACGTCTGTTGGTTTGTGACCAAAGTCGATGTCTGTCATCTCGTTGAGCCGGCGCTCCTCGGGGTCCTCTGCAAACACAATACCATCATCATCGTCATCATCGTCATCGTCGCTTTCTTCGCTGTCATCTTGATCGTCACCGAGTACAAACGTCTCATTTGCCAAATCAAGCTCAGCACCAGCATCGCCACCGTCACTACCGCTGAGCCAGCTGTCGTCGTCATCGCTCCTGCCGTTGCTGTTACCACCACCACCACCAGCATCATCACTGCCAATCTCTTCGATGACAATCTCAAAATCATCATCGTCATCGTCATCATCGTCATCATCGTCGTCGTCGCCGCCCGTTCGCGTTGTCCACACGATGGGCACCAGGTAGTCATCATCATCACCACCGCCATCGACATCATCATCATCATCGCCATCAGCAGCGATGGTTGTCTTGCTCGAGTGACGCCTGCTGCTGATACGCACGCCGCTGCCACGACGACGATGACCACCACCACCACTGCGATCATCACTGCCACCACCACCACTGCAATCATCATCACCACCACCATCACTGCCACCAGCGTCGTCGTCATCATCATCATCGTCGTCGTCGTCGTCGTATTCAGCTGTGGTCTCTCGAGACACGGCGAGACTGCTTCCGTATTCGTCCATGGACGGGGGCGCCTCGCTGTCGTCCCACTCCGTTTCGTCCTCGTCCCCGCTGCCGGTCTCGCCGCCGCTCACGTCGCTGTCGCCTGCGCGCGTGTGCGGGAGTGTCTGGATGCCCATGCCAAGCCGGGCTACAACCGATCGCGTGTTCTCGTCGACGCCGTTCCCACTCTCCTCCTCCCCTTCACTCTCCAACACGTCACCATTATCATCGTCATCACCGCCACCACGACCACGACCACCAGCATGGGCGCTGTACAGCATGCTGAGTGTGCGCTGCTTCTCTGCCTTTGCTTCCCTGTCCCTCAGCACATGCCGCAGCACGAACACGGCCTGCTTCACCGTTGCCCGCAGCATGTCGTGTGCGGTTGTGCGCGCTGGTCGTGACAGCTCCACGTGTTTGTCTGATGCGAAGAGCAGAAATGTCGCCCCGTGCGTGTTGACGCTCTCAATACAGACCACCGCAGCGTTCGTCTTGATCCTGTGTGGGGTGGGGAAGGGGCGTGTGTGTGTGTGTGTGGGGGGGGGTTACGTTGTGAGCGAGTTAGGGTGTATGTTTGTGCGTGTGAGTGAGCAATTCAACGTGAGCATCGAGTGAACAACAGCACAACACAGCACGTTAGTACGTATGCAGCATCGACATTAAACAAGCGAACCTTCGCGCAGTCATCATGGTCGGGGCAAACTCCACCTCCAGCGCATCTGTGCCCGTGGAGAGAATGGACACAAACGTCTCGCATGACAAGTTGCCCTCCTCAAACTCCTGCTTTAGCTTCTGCATCTCCGCTTCCACGTTGCTGTCCATCAGCAGCGCCTCGTTTATATCTTCCAGCGTTTCTCGGTGCCGCTCAGCTATCGCCGCCTCCACAGACATCTTCGTGCCGTGCACCTTCAACACGTGCTGCGTCCCCTGTGTGGTTTGTGTGTGTGTGTGTGTGTGTGTGTGTGTGTGTGTGTGTGTGTGTGTGTGTGTGTGTGTGTGTGTGTGTGCGTGTGTGTGTGTGAGGTGTGCGCGTGGTGCGCATGACCAAGCACAAACGATCAACGTGACAGACCAAAGAGCCAGCACCACGGCCACCATCAACAACCAGAACAACAGCAGCCACTGCAGCAGCAGCAGAAGCAGCAGTAGAAGCAGGGCACCGTGTACCGCACCGAGCTGATGAGATGTGCAAGGTAGATAAAGTGGTCGCCCCATGCATTCTGCAGCGATCCGGCAACAACACCGACCGTCGTCCACGTCTGCACATCAGCATCTGGTGTGTGTTTGTGTGTTTGTGTGTGAGTGAGTGAGTGTGTGAGTGCGCATGTATAGCCTGTGCACGGAGTGTTGACTCTGTGGTGTGACATCGACAGGGCCGCTGGAGCTGCAATCGTTGCCAATATTGCAGTGGTGGCGTGCGGACATGTTCGAGCAACGGACCAATTGGGGGTAGCTTGTATCGAAGGGGGGCCTCTGCGTTCTGCACGGCTGCACCTCTTGATTCCCTGGCAGTAGCACAATTTGTTGGAGTCAAAACATGAGCAGCAGTCAATGATGGGCGGCGGCACGCTCACTGCACTATTCGACAGAATACACATATGTTTGTTACATGCATGTACAAACACACACATACATATGCATACACATGCATACATACGCACACATACATACATACATACATACATACATACATACATACATACATACATACATACATACTTACATACATACATACTTACATACATACATACATACATACATACATGCGTACATACATGCGTACACAGAGAGGGCACAGTGTCACCTGTATTGAACTGGCATCCATCGCTCGTCTTCGGGAATGGCGGGCTGATCCAAGTCAAGCTGGCCCATGCTATCCTCTTCATCGTTCTCAATGTCCCGTGCATACTCGCTGCTTTCGTCTGTGTCTGTGAAGTCTTCTTCCGCCTCCGTGTCTGATGCTCCATCGCGCACGCCCAACGCGTCAAATACGTGACTGGCGAGCGCGAAGTCACCGAGGCCAGCGGGGCCCGGCCCACCGGTGAATTCGCGCGTGAAGCGCGGCATCACCTCCCACAGCACGTGCACGCGAAAGCAGAACTCGCTGTGCCACTTGCCCTCGGTCCACCCAACCGTGATCACAGACCGCATCGTGTGCTGATCCAACGCAACATGCATGTGGATGTATGCGCGTGAGCTCAAGAAGCCTCGTTCGATAAGTCGCACACGCTTACACACCAGCACAGAGCAGCGCTTCACACACACACGCACCCACACACACACACACACGCACGCACGCACACACACACACACACACACACTAAAGGTGGGGCAATTCAAGCGCCAGGGCAAACATTCAGGATGTACCCTGGGCAGTTCGATGTCGGCCACTGTGCTGCATTTGAGAGAGGCAATGGCACCTCGCTGCACGAGCAAGCGCTCATACAGTGGTGGCAACTCATCTTCATCTGCACCACCATCTCGCTCGCACATCCTCTCGCCTGTGTGCAGCAGCTTCCGCGGTTGCTGAAATATTGTGGAAGAAATGGCCACTTTTCTACAATACCCGCGCCATCCACGCTCCAGATTTCTTCAGATTGACACGACAATGACGATGGTGGTGGTGTCTTCCACACGACGACACCCACCGGCTGGTGGTGGTGTTGCTGTTGCTGTGGTGATGGCGATGGCGATGGTGGTGGCGTGCTTTGTGCTGAATTCCCAGCCCGTGCTTGGATCGTGCGTGTCGAGGCCATCCCATTTCGTACCTGACCGTTTGGATGCAATGGGTACCGCGAGGCACTGCTACAACACATCCTCGGACACGTCGTCGTGTTTCCTGCGCTGCGCCTGTGATGGCGAGGACGTCGACCCAAGCGCAGTGCATCTCACTTGCTCGCCCACAGGTGTGGAAGGGTTGGGAGATGAGAGAAGTCGTGAAAGGCGTGCAACGTGATTTGGAGGGAGGGGTTGTTTTGTGTTGCGTTGTGTTGTTGTGTGATGTGGCATCGTGTGACGTGCTGTGATGTGGTGTGATGTGATGGCGATGGTTGGCTTGTCTGTATGGTGGTGCTGCTCAAACTAACACACACACACACACACACACACACACACACACACACACACACACATACATACACGCACACGCGTGCGCGCGCACACACACACACATACATACACGCACGCACTCACACACACACACACACACGCACGCACGCACACACACACACACACACACACACACACACACACACACACACACACACACACACACACACACACACACACACACACACACACAGGGTCTTCGGCTGACGACGTTCCAGGGTTTGTGTACTGGAACATTTCGGTTCATGACGCGCACGTGAACTTCACGTTTTCGAGCAAAGGCAAGGCGGCACCATCGCCGTCATCAGGGAGCACGGCGTCGTTTGCCTCCAGCGGCGTCATCGCAACCACATCCACACCCTCGGAGCTGGAATTGGAAGCCGAGTACGACCCGCATCTCGGGGCAAGCATGCAGACGAACATGTTCTGGACGCCATGTCGCTCCATGAACGCCGTGTCCGCTTCACGGCGCATTGCGGACGACAGGGCGCACGTGACTGTGGGCTGGTCCAGACCAGACACCACGTCAGACCTCCTTGACCACATGGTGTACGATATCGCTGTGCGCAACACGACGCACGCGGCGTTTGAGACGGTGGTGTCCGGTATTGCCGGGCGGCACGAGCTGGCTGCATTTCAGCTGCCGCTCGGCTGCGAGCAGTACGCGGTGCGCGTGAGGTCGCGGTTTGTTGCGTCAAACGGAACAACGCTTGCGTCATGCGCATCGCCATATTCCATCACGACGGTGGCGCCGGCCGCAACGCCGTCTGCGCCGGGCACGGCATCGGTGGATATGGTGCATCTCACCAGCACCTCGGCGGCGTTCACGTGGGGGCCCACATCGCACGATGGCGGGTGTGGGGAGGTCACATATCGGGTGGTGGTGCTGGATCAGATGACATCACAGGTGATGGGGTCTGCGTCCGCCAAGGGAATGCACAACACACACACCACCGTCACATTCGCTCCCCCGCTCAAGTCACGCGCCCACTACATTGTGAGTTTCGTGTGTGTGTGTGTGTGTGTGTGTGTGTGTGTGTGTGTGTGTGTGTGTGTGTGTGTGTGTGTGTGTGTGTGTGTGTGTGTGTGTGTGTGTGTGTGTGTGTGTGTGTGTGCGTCTCCATTACTTGCGCGATTGTCACTTAGCAGATTGCCACACTTCTCCTCACGTTGCTGCTTCCCTTATCCCTCTCACGTTGCTGCTTCCCTCATATTGCGCTCTTCGTTCGTGCTTCAGGTTGAAGTGCGCGCGACCACCCCCATTGGATCATCGCCGGGGACACAAAGCGTGTTCACCGCACCCGCGCACACGAGCACACGCACACGCACAGGACGCATCGTGGGCTCTGTTGTGGGCAGCGTGGTAGCTGTGGCAATTGTCATCACCATCTTTCTTCTCCAGAGAAGAAACAGGGTGCGACATCAAACTGATGGATTGGTTGAAGAGGGGAGGGGGGAGACGGAGCGAAGGCGAAGAGCAATGGGATTTGTTTGGACAATGGGACATGCGTAGACACACTTGTATGCATGTGCGTAGACACGTGTTAGCGTCGTGATATCACCACCATTCTCACACCACCACCACACCACCACCACCGTCACCATTGCCACCGAACTGCTTTTCAGAAACGAGTGGCATATGAGCGCATTTAGGCGGCGACCCACAACGCATCTTAAGCAACACCACACCAGAGACCCCCGTGTGTTTCCTTTTGCTTCCCATAGACAAAAACATGCGTGCGTGCGTGCGTGATTCTGCAAGCCACTCGCGCGAACGCATGCAAGCAAGCAGACGCGACTGTACATACATGTGGTTTCGGTTCATTTCCCATCACTGTGAGCTGATGCAAAACCAGCTGGCGTGTGTTTGTGTGTTTGTTTGTTTGTGTGTGTGTTTGTTTGTATGTGTGTGTGTGTGAGTTTGTTGTTTGTTTGTCGTTTTTTTCTTATCCTGCCTGTTCTGCGGTCTTGCGTGTGAGATGCGGTTTCGTTTGTCGCGTTGGTTGTTTAATGCCATTTCCTGTCGATGGTTGCGAGTAGAGATGACAGTGGCAGCGTCGTTGCTTCCAACTCATAACGAACAGTGACTTCTTCTTCAAATGAATACTCAACCCCCTTCCCTTTGACGGCGAGCCGAACAGCAGCCGAGGGCGCACACGCGCCGCATCGCACCAGGGAAACGAGTTGGTCGAACACACAGTGACACAACAAAGCTCGAGGGGAAGGGACGGAAGAGTGTGTAACGTCACCGCAACAGCGCGCAAGGTAAGGTAACCAACCACATTGTGACAATACCAAACACAAGGGAAAAGTAACAAAGAAATGATGTCATGGAAACACACACACACACACACACACACATACACACACACACACACACACACACACACACACACACACACACATGCGTACAGTTCGGTGCAGTCACGCTTGCTCAAACACCTCGTGCGCACATGTGGCGGCGGGGTTTAGGTCCGCTTTCTTCAAAAACCGGACATATGCGTCGATGTCAACCACGCGAACGTCCGAGTCATCAACGCTCTTCACAGCAATCAGTTTCGCAGTACACGGCACCTGCGAGTGAGTGTGGGAGTGTGGGAGTGTATGTGTGTATGTGTGTGTGGGAGTGTGTGTGTGTGTGTATGTATTCGTGTCAGTTGATAACGTGTCAGATGTCATAAAAACGAAAGTACCGCGACACACACACACACACACACAACCACAACCACAGCCACACACACACACACACACACACACACACACACACACACACACACACACACACACACTATCACAGGCTCACGTCGTGTGATGTTGAGATGAGGTAGTGGAGCGTCGGCGGCAGCACATGCATGATGTCAACGCTGTCGTCGCTATCGTCCCCGTTGTCAAACAGGAGAATCTCGTCGAACATGCGCGCATATGCGCGGAAGTTTGCAGAGAACATCTTGTGCGACGCAAGCACCTGCCGCGTTGGCGACGGGGCTGCCATGTGGGGTGATGGGTGGTGTGGTGGTTGCGGTGAGGCGAGTGGAGGTGTACGCGCAGTGGTGCAACAAGATGGCACCACAAACAAGTGCAGCCGCAGAGAACAGGCACATGCGCAAGGCACACAAATGCACCGCAAGCCACAGCCAGCCAACCACAACCACAACCATCACCACCAACCAACACGATCCACTCCCCATCAACCACGACACGCATTGTACCTCTGCCAGTGACGATCCAGCGAAGAATTGCGCGGCGAACAGCGACGTGCGGCGGCGCCGTGACAGCCAACATCGTCAGCCGATACGGTCGCTTCGTCGTCGCATCCTGCCCATCATCGCCATGATTGTGGTGTGTTTGGAGGGGCGTGAGTCGGGATGTTGCGAGAGAGTGGTGGGGGAGCAGAGAGGCGTGTAAATCACACACACACACACACATATGCGCACACACACACACACATATGCGCGCACACACACACACACACACACGCCCACCTTGACCTGCTCCCAGTACGTCTCCGTCACACCGCCACCACTGCCGACGACATAACCGGGGCCGCGGCGGTACTCGTGCTCGCAGTCCCGCAACATGGCCACCGTCTGCTCAACAAAGGGGCGCCACATCATTGTGCTGTCAAACACAATGTGGCGGCGCTGCGCAACGGCGACAGCGAGCATTCCCTCTGCGGTGCGCGTTGACTGATGGTGCACCACCTCGCTCGCTCGCGACTGGCCCACACCCTGGATGAAGGGGCAATGGAAACAGCAGCGTGTATGGCGCATGTGTGCATATTACGTGTGTGTGTGTTTGGGTGAATGTACACGTGTGTGGTGTGTGGGTGAATCTGTGTGTGTCTCTGTGTGTGTCTGTGTGTGCGATTAAAGACGTCAGAAACACGCGAATCATCGCGATGGTCTCGCGTCATCACCAGCACCACCACCATCATCATCACCTTGAGTGCTTTGAAGAGTGGGTCCTTGTCCTTGAGTGCGTCTGCTTCGATGTGCAGGAAGCGTGGTCCGCACTGCGACCACAGCGGCGACGCGTGCAGCTGTCGTAATGCACTCGACTTGCCTGCGCGGGTGTGAATGTGTGAATGTGTGCGTGGTGTGCATGTGCATACATGCGTGGATATGCGTGCACATGTGTGTAAGCTCAAGGCAAACGAGCGTGGGTGGATGATCTGCACTCCTTCCATCCCACGCACACACACACACACACGCATATGAATACACGTGCCGATGCGTACCTGAGCCGATACCGCCGCCGGTGAAGACGATGTGGGGAACATTTCCCTTGATGCGGCAGCAGGGCGGTGTCACGACGGACGAGACAATGGATGGCGCCTGCTCGCACGGTGGCGGTGGCGGCGGCGGTGATGGCCCATCGTGTTGTTGTTGTCGTTGTTGTTGTTGTTGTTGGTCGCCATCAACGCTGCTGCCACTGCCACTGCTCCATGTGCTTGAAGCGACAGATGTGCTGCTGCTGGTGCTGGCTGTCTGTCCTCGACCACACACCGACGGCGGGGGCGACACGACGTGAGATGATGGTGCTGCTCTCATCACTGCCCCTGAATCTGTTGTCTTTCCTCCTCCTCCTCCTGCTGCTGTTGTTGTTCCTGCTGCTGCTGTTGTTGTTCCTGCTGCTGCTGCTGCTGCTGGTGGTGGTGGTGGTGGTGGATGACTGGTGGCGCTGTGTGCAAGCGGCGACGCTTTCAACTTGTCAGCATCTGCACGGAATGCAGACAGCACCCGCGCAGCCGCCCGTGCTTCCGTTTCTGCTGCCGTTGTCATCATCGCTGTCGCTGTTGTTGGAAGTGCTGCATATGCGGAGAGAGCAGCCAGGGAATCGTCAACATCCCATGCAACGCTCGCGTCTGTGCAGCCACCACACAGTCATTCGTGGTTGAGGTCACGGTAGGTGAATGGAAGTGTTGTGTGGAAGAGTTGAAACAATCCTCAGATTTACGGCATGTCACTCGGCATGCTGTGTGTGTGTGTGTGCGTGCATGCGTGCGTGTACTTGTGTGTGTGTGTGTGTGTGTGCGTGCGTGCGTGCGTGTACTTGTGTGTGTGTGTGCTTGTGTGCGATGTGTATGTGTGTGTGTGTGTGCGTGTTGTGTTTGTGTGTGGTGTGCTATGTGTGTGTGTGCGTGCGTGTTGTGTTTGTGTGTGGTGTGTGTGTGTGTGTGTGTGTTACCTTCGTGAATTGTCTGATGGTAGTGCGCCTCTGCTGCTTGTCGATCACGCTGATAATTCGAGCAAACGCATGTAAAGTCATCGTGAGGTATGAAGGCAGGGACGCACAACTCAACAAACAAACAAAAGCACAGCAGAGCACAGCAAAGGCAAAGCCAACCACTGCCTAACCCCTCTCCCTCCCTCACTCCTTGCCTATCTGTCACTCCCTCCCTCACACCTTGCCTCTGCGGTCACTTCACCTCCAGCTCGTCGAGTTGGTCGATGCCGCTCCTGAGCAGGGCCCGCCGCCAGTCAGACACGTCCATCGACTCGTCAAGATGCGTGTCGTTCGTCACGTCGTCCACGGGGCTGAACGGGCCGTGGTCGCCGTGCGCGAACGCAAGCAGCGCCGCAGCCGTGCGCGGACACGTGCTGGTGTTGGTGTCACCAAAGTGATTGGGTGTGGGGGGGGGGCAAGGGCATGGTGGTGATGGTGGTGGTGGTGAGGACGATCCTGGTGGAAGATATGCGGCGATACTGGGCCAGGTGCCATCACAAAGAAAATGTGTAACAACAACACAACAAACGTCATCAACAGTCACAGTCACATACACACACCCACACCCACACATAGACACACGAACACACACACACACACACAGACACATAGACACACGAACACACACACACACACACACACACACACACACACACACACACACACACACACACACACACACACACACACACACACACACACACACACGAACACACCTGGATCGCTTCACGTCGACGGCGCCGTCTGCGATGCGGAGGATGGTCGGATATCGCTTGATGCCAAACTTATCGCGAATTGCACTGCTGTCCGGCCCGAGCACCACCAGCCACGCCACAGCATCCCTGTTGCTGCTGCTGTTGTTGTTGGTGGTTGCGGCGCTGATGGTGTGTGTGCGCGAAGGTGCGGTGGGCGGCAATGACAGGGATGACATCTCTGCAGCCTGACATGTGGGGGACAGAGGTTGTGGAAAGTGGCGATGCTTGTGAGGTTGCAATGCAACGAAACCAAGCCCGACAAGCTCATCATAACACAGACAGGCAACATGGCCACGAAAACACACGCGTGCATGCGACGCACGCACGCACACACACACACACACACACACACACACGCACACACACACACACACACGCACACACACACACACACACACACACACACACACACACACACGCACACACACACACACACGCACACGCACGCACGCACGCACACAAACACACACACACACACACACGCGCGCACCTTCTGGTATTCTGGCTTGAGAGAGCGGCAGCTGTTGCAGTAGTCTGCGGCAAAGAGGAGGATGCACACGCGGTGGCGTGTTGAAATCTCTTCAAGTTCGTCCAGCTCGCTGACGACGGTGACAGCTCGCGACCACGTGCGCATGGTCACAGAGGACGCCGTGACAAACTCGCGCACACCATTGCCCGGTGGTGGTGTCGCGTTGGTGGCCGAAGGGGGGTGATGGCGACGACGATGATGGTGGTGATGGTGGTGGTGGGGAGCACAACCATCGTGGTTGAGGTTGAGGTTGAGGTTGAGGTTGTTGTGGTGGTTGCTGCTGCTCTTGGCTGTGTTGATGGTGCACGTGGTTGTGTCAGACGTGGATCCTTGGCGTGCCTGCTGGTTGGCGGCAGCTGCGAAAGGGAAAGAGGATGTGGAGCCGGTACGAGTGGCACTGCTGTCTTCAGTGGCCGTGGTGTTCTCCTGTGCGTTTGTCATCGCTCCCATCTTCGCTCGCTTCGTTGTGGGTGGTGCTGCTCCGGCGGTGGCTGCCGTACAACTTGAACGTTGCCTGTCCTTGTCGCCAGCAACCGTGATTCCGAATTCACCGACATGGCTTGCAGCAGTATGGCTGTTGACACCCCCACCGCCTGCACTTCCGTCCTCTATCCATCGTCCACCTTGCTCGATACTGCTGTCGTCATTGTCATGGCTGCTGCTGTCATTGTTGGTGTACGCTCGTCTCTGTTCGGCGTCCTCCTCCACCATCAGAACACCACATGGCTCTTGGTCGAGCATGCGCGCATCGCCTGCATCACTCGCATCACCACGACCAGCAGGCGGTGCCGCTCTCGTTGCCGCTGTGCTTGGAGATCGCGTCTCACCCCTCCTCTCACGCTGCAGTTGCAGTCGTGGCGATCGCCGTGTGGGCGCGCTCACCGTCTTGCGCAGCGATAGCAGTGCTGGTGCCGATGACGATGCTGCAACACTGTCTGTCGCTGCGTCGTTGGCTGTGGGGTGGCGGTCTGTGATAGTCGGTTGCACGCTGTCGTCGTCGTCGTCGTCGTTGTTGTTGCTGCTGCTGTTGTTATTGTTGTTGTTGTCGGGTGCAGTGCTGTCCCGCGCGTCGCACGTGGATGCCACCATGCACGCGGCTGTGGTCGGGGTGCGCAGCACTGCAAACGATCGAACGGACGAACGAGGGGACGGCGATGGGGACGCTGATGAGATGGAGGCTGGGGAGAGGCCGCGACCGAGGACAGGGGCGGATACGGTGCGGTCGAGCGGGGCGAGGCGCGAAGATGGATCGCGGCGGGGACCAAACCGCTCCTGGATGTGCAGGAAGGTCTGCCGGTTCGCCCTGAAGAAGGCGCGGGAGGCGTGCCAGTGGGACGCAAAGTACTCGTGGGAGAGGTCGGTGATGTAGTGGCGCAGCTTATCCAATCGATCCTCGGCCGTGTCGTGCGCCTCAAACTTTAACGCGCCGCTGTTGGCTTCTCCCTGCGCAGAGTGGCGTGCGTGAGTGTGTGTGAGTGTGTTTGCGTGCATGTAAGTGAGTGTGTGTGTGTGTGCGTGTGTGTATGTGTGTGCATGCGTGTGCGTGTGTGTATGTGTGAGTGAGTGAGTGTGTGTGTATGTGTGTGCATGCGTGCGCGTGTGTGTATGTGTGAGTGAGTGAGTGTGTGTGTGTGTGTGTTTGCAGGGAGTGCTGGAGAGTATATTCAAGGCCGCGAGCAACCCCTCCTTCCCTACCCCACTCGCGATCACGTTCTTCTCCGCTGTTGCGTAACCCACCGCGAGGGTGATGGCGGCTGCTTGGCGGTCGGTGGGGACGTTGGAGAGCTGCTCCTGCAAGTTGTGAAAGGCCTGCTCAACGCGCGTGTCGCTGAGGTGGGTGTATGGCTGGTAGAGGTGGACGTTTGCGGCCGTGCGAAACACGACCTCGCTCACGTTCGTGTCGTGCAATAAAGGTTGGAGGCGATGCCAGCAATGGAGGCCGAACGACATCACATCGGCATCCTTGGCGTTACCACCATCACGTAGCGGCGCACTTGCGTTGGCTGTGCCGGATCCGTTCAACATGCCCGTGCGGTCCTGGTATTGTTGTTGGTGCTGTTGTTCGACTTGTGGTTGTTGTTGTTGATGTGCTTGTCGTGGTTGTTGTACTTGTTGATGTAGTTGGTGTTGTTGTCCTTCTCTCTGCACTACATCACCCATGGCTCACACTCACGACTTGCTGTTGCTGTTCCTGTTGCTGACGCGGCTGATGCGGCAGCTTGAAAGGGGAGGGGAAGAGATCGCGTGCAGCAGCTGCAGCGTGCTGCCACCTGATTGTGTCAACACGCAGACCACCACACACCACCACACCCTCGATCAAACAGAAAGAAGAGTGCGTGTGTGTTTGCGTGCAAACACTGCTGTCGTTTTGCAACGAACACACGTCAGCAATACGAGTTTTGCGCGCACTTCTTCCCATGACGTTGGGAATTGTGTGCTTGTGTGTGTGTGTGTGTGTGTGTGTGTGTGTGTGTGTGTGTGTGTGTGTGTGTGTGTGTGTGTGTGTGTGTGTGTGTGTGTGTGTGTGTGTGCTCTTTCATTGTGTTGCATGCAGGCTTCTCTGCTTTACTGTGTTAACAACCTCAGCCCCGCCCCCTCCTCTTCCGCTGCTTCATGTGTTTGGGAGGACGATGGGCCCGTCTGTGATGGGGATGCCATTCCACATGATGGTGACCTCGTACGCGCCGCCCTTTTCTGTCGGCTCAAACACGAGCCCGCGTTTGTTCCCTGGTGTATGCGTGTGTGTATGCGTGTGTGTGTGTGTGTGTGTGTGTGTGTGTGTGTGTGTGTGTGTGTGTGTGTGTGTGTGTGTGTGTGTGTGTGTGTGTGTGTGTGTGTATGTGTGTGTGTGTATGTGTGTGTGTTTTTTGTGTGTATGTGTGTGTGTTTTGTGTGTATGTGGGATTGTTGTGAGATTGATCGTCGGCTGTATCCAATTGCTCACCATGTGTCAACAATGAAGTTCAAGTTCAAGAGGTCAAACGCAAGAGCGAACGACACAACCCAGATGCACAATCACATGCAACAATTGCACGCACCTTCGCCTTCCTCTGGCGTGATGTTGCTTGGGGGTGCATTTGCAACTTCAATGTACAGGCCCTGCAAGCAACGAAAGTAGGTGAGTAGAATGTGGAGGGGGGAAATACAAACCAGTCGCATGCATGCAAGGTGTAAAGAGCGGAATACATCAGTTGCAGAGGGTTGGTGGGGGCACATACAGACATCTCGCTTACCTTCACACACACACACACACACGCATACACACACACACACACACGCACGCACACATACATACACACGCACACACGCACGCACACATATGCACACATCCTACCTGTGCCTTGAGGGGCAAGTCCTCTGTGAGTTCGTACTCGGGGGGTTCGGGACAGACGGTCTGGCAGCCGCCGAGGTACGTGACGACGCTCAAGTCGTCGATGTTGGGGTTGATCAGGTCCACGGCCTCCACCACGGGCGGGATGCCAATGGCCTTGCCCTTGTCAAGCGCTGCGGGGGGGGGGTGCAGTAGTGGTGTTTGTGGTGTTTATGGTGTTTGTGGTGTTTGTGGTGTTTGTGGTGTTTGTGGTGGTGTGCATACGTGTGCATATGCGTATATATATATATATGTATATATATGTGTATATATGTGTGTGTGTATGTATGTGTGGAGATGTGCGCATGAGGAGGAAACGTGAGCATTTCTGCATTTCTGTACGTGAGCAATTCAGCAGGCGATATAGATAGAAGGGGCACTGGTTCACTGGTGTACGGGTACACGGGCATAAGCAAGAGACAGGTTGTGCTTGCAATGCAATCACAGCACGACCGCACCGAGTTGTGCACGCTCCAGCGGGGTGGGCGGGAGAGCATTGACATCTAGCATGGAAGACATGAACCAAGGGGACCAGAGGCACGGATGGTGAGATTATGCTGAGGAACGCAGAGCGCCTGGCTTTGCGGATGTACATACACCTGTTTTCACACTCACAATGACCTCCTGGCAGACACACACACACACACATACACAATGACTCTCTTACTAGCAGACACACATACACATGCACACACACACATGCACGCACACAACAACAAAAAACCAGCACGTACCGATGGTGCCAGGGGAGCAGGCGTCCACGAGGCAGCAGGCCAGCTTTCCCGACGTGAGGTTGTCAGCAAAGTGCGCTGGGTCCAATTTGTACGGCGTTCGCAAGCCAACCATGTCATTGACCTGTGTGTGTGTGTATGTGTGTGTGTGTGCATGTATGTGAGTGCGTGAGTGAGTGCGTGCGTGCGTGTGTGTGTGTGTGTGTGTGTGTGTGTGTGTGTGTGTGTGTGTGAGGGTGTGAGGGTGTGTGCATGTGTATGTGAGTGCGTGAGTGAGTGCATGTGTGCACCAGCAATAGGCCAGCCGTGAACCAGTACGTGTGCCATCCGCTGTTGAGCCGTGCCAATCACAGAGAAGAACACGTGTACAACAGATGACCACTTACCCATTTCATGACCTCCTTCTTGCCGCCTCGGTTGATGGTGTAATGTCCAATGAGGGCCCAGATCAAGCCCATGCACGGCGTGTACTGCTCTGCAGGCGTCAACAACGACATGCACGCGCGCAACAAAGAAAAGTGAGCAGTGAGGGCCGGTGGGATGGGTGAATGGAGGTGGGAATGAGATGACTGAAGCCCTCAACATCATCGTAAGGCATCACGAGAGCTGCCGCGCATGTGTCGAAGGTGTAACCAGCACTGGCAAGTGACACTGGTTCAGGAGCAGAACGCAAAATGCTGTTTAAAGCGGAGAAGCGCAACACAGGGACCAGTTCATACCATCCACAATGTCGGCACCGCCAACGTTGACCAGCTCAATCCCTTCGGCTTTGATCATCTTCAGTGCAACGTCCACACTGCCAGTGCACACAAGAAGCACACGTGTGTGTGTGTGTGTGTGATGCGGTCGGGGTAAGTAAGGATGCGAATTCTTGCCTGCAGGCAAGCTCATGAAGGCATTGTTGGGGTACTGAAGCAAGGGCGACAACAAGCTTGCACATTGACAAGAGCCTGCAAGCACAGAGACGAACGCTTTGGTCAGGGACAAGAGCATCCACAGGGACGCGAACAGTGACGCAAACAGGGACGCAAACACACAAGCAGAGCACAATGTCATGTCCACTGACTTGTTAAAGTATTGGATGCGGTTGTTTGCGTTCTTGAAGTACCGCTTTGACTTCTTGCCCGTCAGCACCTCCATCAAGTTGATGAGCGCTACGTGCGAGACAAAGCGAGACAAGCAAGCAAGCAAGCAACGCAGTGGGAGTGGGAGAGCTGTGAGCAACGAGAAAGCGAGATACACCGGCGAGCCGCACCATGTTGATAGCGAAGAGGAGTCGTTCGACGCTCGCATCGCGGCGGCGCATTTGCACTCACCAATGCCATCTTTCAGCGATTCATGAACCTTGCCAACTGTGATGCCTCGGTCCGCCTGTGTGCGAGGAGCACGTGCATGGCGAGGACGCGGCCGGGTGGGGGGGGGGGCGGGTTTATTTGTGCACGAGAGATGAGGAGCACGTGTGGGTTGTTGCGTACGTGTGTGTGTGTGTGTGGCGTGTGTGTGTGTGTGGCGTGTGTGTGTGTGTGTTGAAGGAAGGAAGACAAACCAGGTGGTAGTTGATCCATCGCGTGAATGTGCGCTCTTGGATGTCAGACTGGCAAAGCGGCAGCAAGCGAGGTGTGTGATGGCAGGAGGGGAAGGTGTGGTGGGAACAAAGAGTGAGCGGGGAGGGATGGAATACGTGCAGTGGGAGTCACTAATACAGACATGCAAGGAGACATGCAAGTGTAGGCAAGTAGGTAGGCAGGTAGGTCCGCAGGTAGGTAGGCAGGTAGGTAGGCAGGTAGGTAGGTAGGCAGACAGACACAGACACAGACACAGACACAG